TTGTAGATACAGTCGGATCAGACCAATCTGAGATGAGATCAAAATTGGGGTAGGAAGGAACAAAAGTTCTCCAACACAAATCTGTATTCAGTTTTTGGACTTTTCTTTAATCTTTGCTTGTTTGTGAAATAAAAGATAATTTTACCTTGCAGGTCCTCAAAAAGTAATTTAAATGAAACTATATAAGAGGTTTAGAGAAAGAAGCTCTCTTTGGTAGAACTGCTAACAATTGGTAAGGCGGACCTTACTAGACACTGGTTTTATCTTAACAGTATGTATGTTATACATTTATAATATGTTTAATGTTACATTGTAATATGTGAAGTAACTAGTAGTTAGTTGGCGTAGACATATAAAGTAACATTAAATCGACTCAAGTAAATGTTCTTGAGTAAATATACTTTTTACTTTTACCCACTGGATTTAAGGGTGAATTATACCTCTGTACTGGAATTGACCTCTTATTGCAGAGCTATTCGATGAGGGTGACATGAAATTCAGTGTCCACTTACACTGTAAGTAGACCAGGTAGACCATGACATTGTTTATCATTGTTTGTTTCTCTGGCTAATTACTCTGTCAGTCAAAGACATACATGTTCAGACAGAAATCCTGAAGCTGGACAGGGTGTTTATATGCCTCAGTATCCATCAAAGCAGGATCACCAAGACAGTGTAATGTCTGGGTTTTATGGACATGTTTTTCCAGAATAAACACATAAACAGGATAGTTTGGGTGGGATTTTTGAAAAGCTGCTTCCAGAAATCACAGCTTCATTTACTTCTATGGTTTGGCACACACGTTCTCTGTTTAATTGTATTGGTTTAAAGTACAACAAAAGCACATTATATTCCTTAAACTTCCCAACCAGTATTTTAGCTTTACGTTAGTCAGACCTCTGCCTTTTCCAGTGAACATCGTTTTAATGATATACAAGTAAAAAGTAAACACCTTGGGGTTAAAGCTGGGCTTAATTTGGTTTAAGAGTTATTTTTTTAGACGTTGAGATTACAATCAAAGTTAGCCATTGTTATTAGTCATTGTTTAAACAGCTTTTCATTAAATGAAGCAAAGCCTGCAAGTTAGTTGAGTCAGTCAACTTTCATCAGCCACTATACACTCACACGGCATACTCCTTTCAGTGCAAAACATATATCCAAAACACGCTTTTAATCAAGGCGGTGTACTTGCCGTCAGTGCTCTGCTCACTCTTACAGCCGCCACACCGTTCACCCGCAAGCTATACTGTCACTTGCTGCTACTGCTGCCACTGTTCATACAGCGTTTCAAAAACCCCACCTCCACCCAGCAATCATCTGTCTACCTTCCACCAGAGGGGGAAGTTATGCTCTACAAAATGTGTAAAATTGGTGTGTATTTTTTTCTCACTGGTTTGACTAGTTATATTCAATGTAGGCAAGATGGTCGACAGTGAATATTCTTATCTTAAGGAAGGCTTATGTCACTCACCCCATTGACGGGATAGGTCTTCCAGTCCAGTTCTCCTAGCACTGTCGTAGTGTCCAACAGAACCACTAGAGAGAGCAGGGTGGTAAAAAAGAAAGTCATGTAAAATGGAGAAAAAAGTTGAAAGAGTGAAAGACAGTATAAGCACAAAGAGTGACAGGAGAGAGCACAGAGGGGAAGAGAGAGTGAGTGCGAGAGAGGTTGGGCAGTGAATTCAAAAAAGAAGAGAAATGGAGGTGACAAAATAGGAAGAGAGAAGACAATAGTTATCAAGCTGTCAATGAGAAGCTGACAGAGCTGTAAAGCCCTTATCAGATTCAACCACCTATGAAATAACAGCTCTTAGGAAGGTCCAGGACAACAGCAACACTAACACAGATCCACCCTCCGTCTAGCTGAAGTCTGGAAGATTAGTACTCTCCTTCTCAGAGGTCAGGAGTATTCTGTGCTACATGACATCGAAGATAAACCAAAAATGAATAAAGGTGAAAGACAGATGGACTGTGGAAACTTTAAATATTTATCTAAAAAAATGACTTAATTAAGACATGTGGTGACAGCCCTTTCAGTAACAACATCAAACTGTTTGGAGTTAACTGAAATTCCCCCTTGAGCCAATTGATATTATTTTGTCACTTGATAGCGCAGCCCAGCATCCCCAGGAATTGCATTCATACTGGATGATTCCACATCTCACAATTTAAGTCCTTTTCCAATTATTAGTGCCAATGCAGGAAGTGGTAGTTTGTAGTGAAGTGAAAAGTAACGTTGAGGAGGGTGGGATGGTGGATTGGCATGTGGTGCATCAAGGTGTAGCAAGAGATTGAACTTTGCATCCTGTCACAGACCTGCATTTGCAGTTTTATTAGGCATAACCACAATCATTCCCTAAACTAAAACCATGTGTTTTAGTTGCCTGACTCTCACCATACCTTTTAAAAGACCCACCCATCCATTAGAGGATACCAAGTCACCAAGTTTTTTCCCACCTAGACGTGAAAAGTATACACGTGTATGAAGGTGTAGTATAAAGAGCGACAAAGTCTGCATAGGTGGAGGATGGAATGGATGGATAGGTCAAACAAATACAGGACTTTCACCCACGAAAAAGCTGTGTGAAGCCAAAAGCCAACCTTGACCTATTTTAAGTGACGTACTTAAGTTAACATACGTAACTTATGTCAGGTATCTTTTCATAAATCAAACCGAGAAGTTTTGGTGCCTAAACCTAACCAAACTGCAACCTCAGCAAGCTTTATTTTGAAAGTGTAACCGGATATTGCATATTTATTATTGGTAACTTGTCCAATGTTTCATCGGTCAGTCAAGTCATGCCATGTACCATGTATGACTCTATTTGAAGGACTAATGTGTAGGATTTAGTGGCATGTATCAGCATGGTTGCAAATTACAACCCCTGCCTCACCCTGCTGTTCCAAGCACTAAAGCACCAAGGGCTACTGTAGAAACATGGCAGTTCAACATGGCAGACTCCATGAAAGGTGACCCACTCTAAAAACGCAACAATTCTTATTTTCAGGCGATCATGCACTAACGAAAACAAACTATGATTATTATATTCCATTTCTGCCAATATATCCTCCTGAATGTTACACGCGGAACTTTAAAGGTTAGAAATATAGTGTAATCTGATCTCAGCATCAGTACTTGATGGTGTTTTTGCGTGAGCATGTTAACAACTGTCTTTATGTTTGTCCATGACCACACTGTGTACTTACAAGTGTACCAATCTCAAGTTGTCTGCACTCTGGTCACGGCTCAGGCATGAAGAGCCATTATCTGGCCCTTGCTAAGCCCCCTGAGCCAATTTGATATGATGAATGTGCAATTTCCTTTGTCTCCACACAGCCAGTTAATTACAATCTCTATCAATAAAGTGCGTCCCACTTCAGTGGTCGACATTATAGACCAAAGAGTCACATCTTCAAACAACCTGTCACTCCAGTGTACAGCGAACTTTGCCAAATCTGGACTAATTTAATGGGGTTGCCACTGTTTTAAGAACAAGTTAGATAACCGGAGAAGATACACTGGTGAGACTAAATGAACTGCTTCAGTATTTACAGAGACTTCATTTAGCCTTGATCCCCTGCTGGTAATTAAGGGCTGAATTATAATAAGATGGCCTTGTCTCTGTTGAAAAGGAGGACAAAGAGAGAGGGAGGGAGAGAGACTATGGAACACACCAAGAGAGACAGAGAGATATTGATTTTTTGACTAAATTAGAAAAACAATCTTTCATAATCATGAGCAATGTTCCATACCATGTTTGACAGAAGCAAACTTTTTCCACCAGCTCCCTTCATTGTCTGTCTGTCAAACACTCGCACATAAACACACACACACA